TGGAGTTAGATGTTCAGGAAAGGGTTTGAGCGGAAAGGACTGAATTGCCAAGCTTGGCTTAGTAGTAAGCATTTGAAATAGAACTGAGAGCTGTAGTGAACTGCTATAGAACTGTAGTGGCTTGAAGGCCACCAGGTGAGTGTGGATTGTGTGTCCCCTCACACACTTCATTTCTACCTCTGTCCTAATCTGCATTTGCCTCTGTACAACACACAGTGCAGTACACTAAATGCATTACAGAATACATGCTTCAGTGGCCTAATAAAAGCTTTGCTCGTGTCAACAAGGAATTTATTAGAACTGAAATCTTACCAGCATTACACAGAAGCTGGCACAGAGAACAAGACTGTGGAGGGACTTGTCAACAGCCTTTCAATTGACTTTTGCTGACTGATATTTCAAGATTAGGTGCTATTGTAGGGCATTTAGTGTAAGAAAGGATTGCTGTGAGATCTTAGCTTCTGTCCTGGTTATTTGCTATTGGTGGGAACTCTTTGGTTCCAGCAGTTTGGTTCTTTGTGATTCAGAAAAAGTATTGAAAGTCCACATAGCTTTGGGTCAGAAATGTGTTTTCCTTCAAAATATGCCAAGGAAGTGTCAATGTGACAAGAACAGGATAAAAAGTCTACAGGGAAGAGAACAGCAGGATGCTTTCTGTGGCCTCACACAGCCCCACCAAGTGATTCCTGGGGTCTGGCTTGAAAGCAAGCTATATTGCTTGCTGTAAAAAGGCAGATACTGTACAAAAGCCACTGCTCACTTATGAAGAAGTCTAGGCTATTCCAGCATAGATTTTCTCACCCAGGAAAGAACTTGCTGTGATTGGGCAGGGTGCCTAGTTGTGGTATGACATTCTCTCCTGTGTATGTTGAAGTCTCTAAAGCAATGAAGAATCTGGCACTTACAGAGCAGAGCACTCCAGTAACATGAGACTAGGCTAAGACTTAAGCCTGATAATCTTCATTCAGCCTTGGTGTCAGCCTCACTGTGGCAGGGTCAGTTTATGTGGGTGAAGATGCATAACCAGAGCCATACTCAGACCACCTGATCATGGTTAACTTTCCTTGGTTTTCTGTTTTCTTGCAGCCAGGATCCACTGACTCTACAATAGTGCTCTCAGTTGTTCATTTTATCCTGAAGTTACATGCCTGCCTTTATCTTAGTGGCCACCATAAGCAGCCTGCATGTGGCCTATGTGTACGGGCTGGTCTTAGAAAACAATAATGTAATGACTGACTTATAGCAATTGCACTTCAGGCAGTAAAAAAACCAAACTAGAAAAATGGCAACTGATAGAATAGACTGGAGAAGTGGGAGGAGAAACTTCAGTAATATCTGAAAATCCAGATGGACAATTTCAGATGCATGACTTCTTTTGAATACTGCCTACGTAGGAGTTCAGCACTGAGACTCCTCAAGCTAAAAGTGAACACTGTTGAGAGAAGACAGTACCTATTCAGAACCAGCAAAGATAGTGACCTGCAAGCAGGAAAGCTCTGGGAGCGTAAAATCCCAGCTGAAAGCAATGCTGCAGTCAAGGAAATGAGCATAGGCAGTGTAGCTCCTTGCAACCCAGCTGTAATCCTATGTGACCAGTTTGTATTGGAGAAGACAAAAATGAAACAAAGAATGATGTTTGGAGAACACGATGGTCTGCAAACTGCAGTATGAAAGCTTTTCTCACCATCTGCCTTAGAGGATTGTGGCCCTCCAATCTGCTGAAGTCAAACTGATGCTTCCCACACTAGCCTGTGCTGCTCTGGCACCTTGCAGAAAGATAATTAAGCTGGTGAGACACTTTCTGCCTCTTTCTCTTATTCAAGCAGTTCTTTCTCCACCAGGTGACTAGTTCTCATTGTGGGTAAGTAGATTTGGGAGGGAAGAGGAGTTTCAGCTCTTAGGTTGCTAATGTAGAGTTAGATTTTTGTTTCACTAACAGGTATTATTTTTTTCTCTAGTCTTCAGGTACCGGGAGAAGAAGTGAGCAAACCCCTTTCACCATGACAGTAATTTGAGTAGAAACAGCTTTGCCTGCAAATAAATAAATAAATATTATATGAAAAGCTTTGGCTGGAGCTGCCATGTTCATTCTTGTTTCTAAAGCCCCCACAGGCCATGTCACATACGTGGGTCATGAGGTTTATCGATTATGTGTCAGACCCTTAGGTGTCAGTAATCAATAACACTAACCTGCAGAAAATGCAGCAGAGATTTGCTAAACCAACTCTTCACATTGTTCTTTTTCTTGTATTTAAGTTTTCTGTGCCTTGCTAAAAATAACAGGCTGCATAGCAGCAAAGGCAGGGGAGACAAAAAAGTCATTTGGCTGCCAACTCATTTACTGTCTGTTTTCATCTGATTCTGTGTGGTTCTTGGTGAGAAGGCAGGATGAGGAGGGGCAAGACAGGAAAGGGTATTTCCAATTGAATGGCTTCTGAGAAGTAGAAATGAAAGTGATTGAGTTGGGAGGACCTAAACATTTTGACCCCGACAGCTTATTAATATTTAACAAGGTGCCAGATTTTTCTTTGACACTGGAAATTGTTGCGACTGTCTGTCTCCAGCAGACTGAGTCTGCTTTCTCAGTCCACCATATCTAATGTACCTGCTTCCAGTCATGAATAGTCCTTATTCACGAATGCTCTCCTTTATTTGCTGTTTCTGAGAATAAAGAAAGGTAGTTTGGCAGATTAAGTTGTGAAGTTTTTCATTCAAACTTCATATCTCTTTATGTTCTCAATGGGTCACTGAGCAGACTGTGGTTTTCTTGTGTTGATTGTGGTTTTCAGAATCATTCCTCAAAGAACTTTTAACAAAACATTTATTTGCCTTTTTACTTTGCAGATTGCTTGCGAGCTGTTCGCTGTGACAGTTACATCTTTTAAATGTAAGCAGCTCTGATGAGATAAATATAACAATTTGGAACTTGTATTCTGATTTGTATTAATGCACTCCCTCAGCTGGTATATGAAGTGGGGATCCTATTGGGGGTGGGAGGAAAGTCTGCGCCATAAACATAATGCAGCATCGAACAAACAATACTCAATAGAGGAGATGAAGAGTAGGAGAAAATAATATCTTTATGTATTATTTAGGTGGTCTGCATCCCCACCCTTTTGGTGCCTGCCTCTGTCTCTCTGCATTAGAGAGGTGGATTAACTTCATAATGTAGATGTGAACATCTAAATGACTTTTCCAAGGTCACAGAGAAGGTTTATGGCAAAGCTGGGTATTGAATTAGTTTTACCAAATCTCAGTCCAGTGTCCTGAATATGCTTTTTTAAAAGGGAGTTTCAACCATCCATAGAATCATAAACCATATTTATTTATCTTTATGTACTCCCAATTAAACGACTGAAAATGAAGGAATCCATTTGCTGAAGAGTTAGTTTTATGTTAAATTGACAGATAAGATCCATAGAGAGCTGTTGGGTTTGGCTTTAGGCATTTCCAGTCAAGACCAGGGATTCTCAATGCTGTTTTTGTGGATGCTCCACAACATGGGTGTAAACTTTGAGATCTCAAAGTTTCAGTGTTAAGGGTTTCCTCTTGCACCCCAAGACCGATGCCAAGGACCTTCTGTCTTTTTGGCTTGTTTGGAGACTAGTCCAGAATATATTTTGCCATTTTATATAGTTTTTAACTGCTCCAACTGCTCTGCAATGTCTGATTCTCATAATTCGTGTGTTCCCCTTAATAGAACTAGGCAACCATTTGGTGATTGGAGTTTACAGTGTGTATTTATGCCTTGCCATAGGGGAGGCAGCTTCCATTTTTGCATTTAGAACATTTTAAGATGAAACCTGAAAATATTTCCCCTCTCTTTACAATGTTTGAATTGCAAAGCACCCTGTTGCTGCCTTGAGCCCACTGCATTGTGTAAAATCACTCATTTCAATGGTAATCCACTTACAACTGTGCTCAATTACCCACTTGTGCTGTGAGTTGCCAACTATTTGCCTAGCTGCAGAGGATAAAACCTATTTGGAAAAATTGGGCAAAAAGTGGATACCAGGAGGGGTAAACCTGAAGGGAAAGACTACCAGGAGGGGTAAACCTGAAGGGAAAGACTACCAGGGGAAGCAGGATGCTTGGAGTTGAGAACAGAGGCATGGAAGAGAGATGGACAGAAAGAAGAAACGTGGTAAAGGCTTAAAAAGGTAGAGACTAAATAAAGAAGAAGAGAAAATAAGAAAGCAGTGACTTGGTGGATGAGGTCTGGTCTAGCAGATGGAAGGAAAGATTTATGCCCAGCTTTGCACATGAACTTTGCACATGGGTGACCGTGGACCATTTCTATCACCTCCTTGTCCTCAGTTTCACCTTCTGTAAAATAGGTCCCGTGGTACTGACCCTCCTCTGAGGTGCATGGATGGGAAGAGCTAGACACGAGCTACAGTAACACTGGTTATCCTGATTTATTGGTTTTCCTTTGCTAAGGCAGCATTTAGCCAATGGCACTCTGCCCTTTCACTTGTAGGAGAACTAAAAACCTCAAGAAAGAAAAACACACGGCTCCTCGGCTCTCTTTCGGGAAAGGAGGCAGGCTTTTAATTATTTAAGCATCTCCTTTTCAGGTTGCTTCTGGTTTCTGAATCGTTATCACTATAGTTGTTAAGGCTATAGGCTCTACATAAATCATTTAAATAAATAATAAATAAGCCATATCATTAAGTAATACACTGGTATTTATTATGGCTGTAGGGAAGAACTCTGTGGAGAAGGCTGTGTTTAAACTGAGAAGAAGCCTTTTTTAAGCACATCAGTTTAAACACTGCCTTCTGGAGTTAAAATATTAGCTTTTGGGAACTGTCCTGGGACATGGATTTGCTCTGAAAGAATTGGCCACCAAAGTGTCTGTGATTCTGCTGTCCAGTGGGCACACTGCATGTCCTGTGGTGTGCCCCTGCTGAACACAGTCATGTCTCACAGACTTCTGGTTCCTCTTGTTCCTGATTTTTCTCTCAAGAAGGACCAAAGGTTTTGCATCAGGCAGCACTCAGCATTGTGGTGTCCTGGGCACACACTGAGGCATTGTCAGGCTTTGCAAGGACTCAGGTCCTGTAGCAGCACAGGTACAGCATTGCCTCAAGTTAGTCCTTTGCTTACGAGAATGAGGCCTGATATTTACAGGGCTGCTCTAAAAGTCTTGTTTCAGCTTCATCACTGAAGCCTTTCTTCCTCAGTAAAAGCAGAACCACTCATTTCAAGCTGTAATACGTACATATACAATACTGTGAACTCAGTTAGGAGGTGTCACTTCAAAATCTTATTTCTGAAGTGAAAAATCCATGTACTTTTTAGCGTGTTGTGGTTAGAGAAGGTTCTACTTAATTTTTGGGTTTGCTCTGAATTTTTGTTTGCCCAATTATTTCTCCTTGGATGAATCCTCCACACAATTTGAGTGTGTGAAAGAAAAAAGCTGTCTCAGCTAGCCTTGCTGGTGGCTCAGCATTGCCAAGTGCTGGGGACACCTCAGTTCTGTAATTAGGTATAAATAAGCAAGACAATTATAGAAGAATTATCAGTAGGTGATGAGGAGAGGTATAATTTTATCAATAATTACGTTTGTGTGCAGGGTGGTAAGAATCTTCACTGAACTGGTACCTATAAACACTTAATTTTTTCAGGAAGAGTCACATAGTCCTTGGGGTCTGCCCTGAACATGGTCATGCTGCTGCATGTGATGGTGCCATTCCACACCACAGTCTGCAGTGAAACCTTTGCAGCAGGACAAGATGGAGCCAGCCAGCATCCTTGTGAGGCTGCTCAGTTGCACAGGTAAGACTTTAGGTGCCCTTAAGTCTTGAGAGAAAATACCAGGGGAAGGAGTGGGACCAGGTGCTGGTTGCTCTCAAGGGTCTGAGATAGAAGTAGAACAGAACCAGAAGGGACAGAAGAAAGAGGCTTTTGTTGCTGTGGTGCAAGGTGGGCAAGAGCACAGCTTTTGTTCTTGGGAAGCATTTTCTGGCTTCTCTTAAGATGTTACAGCCTTACAGTTTGACCTCCTCAACCCCAACAGTCACAATTACAGTTGGTTCCCGTGCTGCTTTCTACTTTTTCTGCATATTAGGCAGCTTTGGTGAAAACCATATCAGTTCTCTGGAAGCAATGGGTTTTCTCTTCCTAGGAATATACTTACTTTTAGAGACTAGATATTCACAGTATATAGAGACTCAGAGACACAGACAGTGAAAATGTATGAGCCTGACTTGCATGTTGCCTCCACCACACATGGTGTCTAAACCCACAGCAAACTCCCCCCATTGCATGCTGTGTTTTAATATCAGATAGTGATACCCAGCTCATCTTACTGCTGTAAGGAGTGTCCTGGATTAGCAGGAGGTGCCAAGCAGGTAGTTCTTTGATCTGTCAGTCCTTTATACCTAAGTAAGTCCTTTATCCCTAAGCAGAGATTTAGTTTTACTTTCTGAGATGTTATGTTCCACAGGTGGTTATTTGTCCGTGTCCTGAATGCCTTGCAGAGTGGGGATAGAATGCATGATGGATTAGCATAATACCTTCACAGAACTCATTGATGCTGATCTGTTGACACCCCATTTATGCTGTGCATGCCATTTTCACGGGAATCTTTTAAAGAAAGATAAAATTGCATTTCAGATTCAACTTCCAAGCACCTGCTTGAAGTTCTAGAGTAGCTACATTGTAGGTTTTACCTTCTCCTTTGTAAGTGACGAGTGTAGTTTTTCACTGGCAAGTCCTGTCTTGAGGACATACAAACACAATTTCCTGGTCTTTGCATTTGAATCAGGGAAGTGGACCTGACTCCAGTGAGGTTGGAAAACTCTGAAGTATCTTTCACCCTGGGGCAGGATCCATCCAGCTCATTGCCAGTGAGAAATACCACCAAGACAGCAGAACTAACGTTTGGAAACTTACTGCTGTCTTTACCCATAGTGCAAGTCCCCAGCTGAGACTTCAGCTCACTGCACTTAAAGGCAGAGATTCAGTGCACTAAAGCAGTTAGTGCTTTTAGCCAGCACACTTTCTGATCCCCTCACCCAGTCTCACCGACCACTCGTGTATTTTCCTCCTTCTTACTAGAAATTGGCTTTAATTTTATTTTAAATAATTCTTAAGTGTGACTTTTTCAGTACAAGACTGGGAACTATGACTAATTATAAAATCATTACATGATTAAACTCAATTAACTTCAAATAACCCTTGAAATTTGCTTAATGTCAGCCCTTGGCCCTGCTTGAACCAATAAATATTGCTCACCTTTTGTAATGGGGATGAAAAGAGGTGGTTGCAGAGCAGGATTGTTCAGAGTCAGCTGAGCCTTACAGAGTTAATCTTAGAGTTAAAATGGTCCCAGAGAGCTGAATACTGCCACATCAAGAAGGGGAACAGAGTCTTCTGCTCCTAACTGGGATATTTCCCCCCCAACATTTTTCTCTCAAGTAATAAAGCTTTGAAAATTCTTTTCAGCCTTCCATTCAATGCTTCCAATCTGCTTTGCAAATGTTAATAAGGGTTAAACCTCATAAAACCACGAAGGCATGGGAAAGTACTGTCATCCCCATTGAGACATGGGATACCAAGGCACAGAGGACTGAACCACAGAAGGATCGGTGGCAGGAGCAAAAACCTAGGAGTTCTGATGTCTTATTTTATGTTTAAGCTAAAGCTGTTTCTCACATAATGCTGCAAGTTTCATAAAGCTGCATGAGAGCAAGGGACTCTTCTCAGTCGCTGGGCACATCTGGTCATTAGGGAGTTTTGGTGGTTTTCCTTCTTTTTATCTTCACTTTATGAAGCCATCTCTGGATCCACTCCTCTAGCAAATCCTGGCAGGAGAGCTGGCAAAAGTGTGCAGAAGAATCCCAGCAACTCTATTTCTGTGTTCAGCTCCTGTGAGGACAGAAGGGGATGTCATTATTGCTACTGTTCATGGCAATCTGCTCTGACTTGGAAACTGGAGCGGACAGTAGCATTGTTCTCACTGAAGGTAGATGATGGATAGAATATTTCCAATAGGTAATTAGATGGGCATGGTAACTAGACAGTGAGAAAGATGCCTGATCATCTACTCACCAGCATCTGTCATATGGTGTGCTGGCCATGAAATGTTCTCTGAATTGTATTGACTTCCAGCCCTTCTCCATGAAAGATCTCAGCATTCTTTGCTGGGTCCAGCCTGAAAATGGATTTAGAGGCTTCTTGGGGAAAAGAGTTTTTGACTCTTAATTTTTTTGGGTCTGTTTGTGAGGAATGTGAGTGGATCATTGGTGTAGACTGTTAACAATCTCCTTTTTCTTTTGATTGCTGGAACTCCTGCAGCTCTTTATAGACTCTTGAAGGACATGAGGTTTGAACCCGTTTTAAACAACAGAAGTAGTGAGAGAAAGAGAGACAAGATGTAAACATTCATCCCTAAACATGAGTGTTTATATCCCCAGCTTGCTGTTTGAGTCTGATTCCATGGCTGGGAGTGCCCTCGGGTCACCATTGAGCAGCTTGTTCGACTGCGACTTCTGAATGATGAATGTCTCCACTTAAAATCACAGATCACTGCCCCATAACAAAAATTACCACTATTATTGGCCTCCTCAGGGGCACCAAAGGGTGACTGGGCAGTGGTGGAGGGCTTCACCTGCTACAACAGTGCTCTCTTCCTTATGGTAAATGGCAATTTGTCAGCAGTCTGCTCTGTAGGGTGTGTGGTGGGGAAGTTTGGCTCAGCACTTGCTGCTCTGGCTTTTTACTATAGACGGAGTTCTCCTGTCTGTGGTACTGCCCACCAGATTAGTTAGGGTCAAAAGCTGAATAGCTGGATTTTTGACCTTTGCATGAACCTCACAAAAAATAAAGACAAGGAATTCAGTTCTGCAGTGCTCTGTCCAGTACTTGAGGAGAGATTTGAACATCAAAGGATGGGTAGTTCAGAAAGACAGAGACACAGTTTTGTGCTTGAAATCAGAAGAAAGTATAAATTCCCCTTATGTCTTTGGGGAAATACCTCCCCATATGTCTAGCACATACTTGCTGCTTGCATTGTCATGGCAAAAGGAGCAACACAAGTCCTGATAGGAACAATTTAAAACAAGCAGGCTGAGGTTCAGGATGGCTGGGAAGTGAAGCGGAGTGTCCATTGTGTTTAATTACTTGTGTTAAAATGGTTTGTAGACTGGGATTAGTTTGGGAATGTATGTTCCCCTCTTCAGAGAAACAAAAAGCTGGATATCATAGCAGGCTGCCTGTTCATCATCTACCTGCTAGGGGAAAACAAAGTCATGTTTTCCCCTCAGAAATGAGCAAGTGTAGCGGAAACAGCAGTGGTTGGTGTGCAGTAGAAGTTTGGGCCATGCTGGAGCGTGCTGCAGCCAGCACAGGCTGGAGGCAAATGTTTGACAGCAATTTCCTACCACCAACTTGCGGACCTCCCCTTGTGCTGATCAGTCAAGAGCCAGTTGCAGTGGTAATACCTCCCTGCTGCCCCCTGACAGATTGATTTTGACCCTTAACTTCCCCTTCCACCTGCTAATGGCTCGATCACCTTCTCCCCCAGTGCCCTTTCCACCTGGTGGAGGCCTGGTTTTGTCATTCACCATTCTGCTGCTGCCCTCTCCACCTTTTGGCTATTTGTTCTTAAAGCCCTCTCCTCCTCACTGCCTTCCTCCCCTTCTTGGCCATCCCAAAGTCCATCATTAATATCCTAAAATATTCTGGACACCAGAAGATCTTGCTGACTCGCAGCATTCTGGTCTGTAAGGCCTGCTGGCTGGTGGGAGGAGGGAAGGGGAGTGAAAATCAGGGGTTTCCCTTTTAATTTGTGCTTTGTTGCTGCTGGTTTGACCTTTAATCAGGTGTCTGACTGTTGTTTGCTTGCTGATGGCTCTTACAGAATGGTCCCTTGTAAATATATACAGAAAGGGCAGGAGAGTAACTGGAGATCGTAGACCACTCTTTTATTTCCTGGGAGCCTATTAAAGGCTGTTTCCACTTTATCCATCCGTCTCTTTGTCAAGTTGCCTCCTGTGTCCATCCACTTGTGCATTTATTTAGTGGCAATATTAGCTACTGAATCATCCTCTAGGACTGTAACAGTGAGTTTCAGAATAAAGCCAGAGATGCAAAGTGCACTGAACCCATTATGAAAAAATAAAAGGGCTTTCCTTGATGGCATTTAGCTCAATAAACACAGTTTGTCAGAGATGTCTTTATCTCCTTACATTTAAGCGATTAAATGTTGGTAAAAATAGCTTCAGAAATAAAACATAAAGAGAGCTTCTGGCAAAGCCCTGTCCAGTTTAATTCATACATTAAATATTTGCTGGTAGGGTCAAAAGCTGAATGCTTGGATATTTTGCCCTTTGAATGAACCTAGCTAAAATAAAGACAAGGAAATCAGTTCTGCAGAAGCTGTCTCCAGAATACGAGGATCAATTTAAACATCAAAGGATGGAGAGATCATACAGCCAGCCAGCAATATTATTCTGCACAATTAATACTCAGAGAGGTGTTTCCTGAATTCTGAATCTTGTGGAGGGAAGATAATATTAAAATTTCAGAGTTTTAATTATGTAAAAGACAGTCCTTGATCCTTAGCTCCTGAAAAGCAGAGCAGTTTATTCTGCATTAATGAATGTAGAAAACATCCCCTGGTCTGAATCTCTGCATTGATGCAATCTTTGTACAGTCAAATTAGCATTTCTATTTCTAAAGGTAATTTTTAGACAACACAATAAATAAATGATACACTGGTAACCTCCAGATGGATAAAGTGGTGCTCGTACGGCGTTTACAATGCAAATTGG